TGTGAAAATACTGATAACAGCTAATCAGAATGTATGAAATGTCACTGTATCTTAACCAAGGTGTGCTAGCTTTGTGGAGTTACCACCTAGCATCCATCTCTGCGCAGACATGAAATAAATATCTCGACTCCGTGTGCTATTAATTTTTTTTGCACACCGGGTAAAAGAACACTGCTTTTTGGGGCAACGTTCCCGGTCACGCCTTGTGTTTTTCTTGCAAGCTTTCAGTGGTTTCAAATGCTGGTAATCTGTCCTCCTTCATAGCATTAGAAATAACGTGATGGTGTCAGATATCGATACGTGTTTTGATCTTTCAGGTTTTGACATGATGCTGTTGCCTTGAGAAGACCATGGTTGCAATTGAGCTGGCGTTTTCATTTTAAACACCATTTATCAGTGGTTTATGACTCGGATTTTCAGAAACCCTTCAGGTTTTCTGCTGGCATGGCTCTTAGCTGCCATACAGATAAGCTGGGTTCATAACATCATCAAAAAATAGCTGCTGTTTTAAATATTTCAGGCTTTTTAACCACTTCCGGATAAACCGAAATGTACTGCTGACGCATTTGTAGAGATACTGCCTTTGGAGTATCCTTTAACAATCAACTCTTTGCCTTCCCAGTGGCAGTACGGAGTATGATGAACGAAAGGCACCTCTCAGGTGCAGTGCCCGTGTTAGACATCTGTAGGTCCTACTGGGCAAACCCAAGTCTGTGTGTATCCGAGGCTGTTAATTTTAGCAGAAATTTGCGTGCGGGTAGGGGTGGAGTAGGGACTGCAAGCAATGTTGCCTGGATCTGGACGGCTGCTGCAGCAGAAAGCTCAGTAGAATTGTTTCCAAATTCATCATTTGGGGGATTGTGGTTTTTCCTAAAAACAAAACCTGATGTGACTGGGCCCCCAGCAGGCATCGCTTAGCATTCAATAACACCTTGGTGTGCTTCTTGCCCTAATTATCCAATAACTTCCGCTAATGTAGCTAACTAACATCTATTAGGCACATGTGGTTTACACTCCCCCCCCATGCGGTGGAATGTTTTTGTCTTGGTAGGGAGCTTTGAGAGCCATTTGAGAAGCCACCAGATTCTTGTCAAAACAATAGTGTCTGCATATGACTTGGAGTCATACCTCATGTAGTTAATAACTGTAGCTCTTTGGGGTTTTTTATATATGTAATGGATACAAGCCAAGGGACAGCAATGTCTGGGGTTTTTTTTATATACTTGGTTTAGATTTGTTTTGGCATATTGATAATTATTTAGCAGTTCTTTTGTACTAAGATTAGGCAATAGATTAATGTAGTGTGACTTAACCGAAGTAGTTCCATCAAAATTAAATTCTCCTTTGACTTACAATGCATATTAGAAGATCATTGTTGCACGGAAGACTTACACTGGGATACCTTAATATAATAAATGTAGGAGCTGTTGAATTTGAGAAGAGTTATGAACGCCTCACTACAATTGTCCTCCTGTTAGCTTTGCATTTTCTTGTCTTGTATATATTGACTTATTCCCCTGTCTTTTAGTAGATAGTAAGTTTGCATTAAAATGTGGGTTAGGGGACACAACTGTTGTATTTACACAACTTGATTTGGCTGAAAAGGGAGGAAAGTAGGAGACAATACAGAATATATGTTTTGGAGATACCTAAAATGAAACATTTTGCTATGTGATTCATGTTTTGTAAATAACCTCAAGTTTAAAGGGAAGGGGGATAAAGCTCAAACGCTTAATATTACCGGGCCCAAAGTAGAGTCATTTTGTTTCACTTTCTGTCTGCATTTTGTTTTATTTTGCTCTTCTGTTTTGCCTCCCCCCTCCCTCACCTATGTTCAGAACAACCTAATTTTGACTTTTGGCTCAAGTACTAGACTGAGTAGTCTGTCACTCACGCAGTTCTATTGCGTCTCCTTCATCCTTGGTTCAAACCTGTTCTGTTCTGTGACTCTTGACACGAGCATCAGATAATCCTTTTGGGAAATGATTAGAGTGGCATCAGTCCTTAAATCATCAGCTCTTACTAAGTACAGTTTTATGGTGGAATGCTTTGCCCTTTGTTTGCCGAATCGTCTGTGAAACATTAAAATGGTGACCTTGCTCCACCCACCATCTGCGCCCTTTGCTCTATGATCTGGTGGACCAGAAATGACCTGTAACTGCTGTAACTATTGGCTGTTTTGTTGTAGTGTGATATGGCCAGATTCTGACAATTCGAGGTTACCCTTGTCCCTTTTTAACATACTACTTATGATCACCTGGGTCAGTGATGTAGTGAAAGGTTCTTGGTCAGATGATATGGTAGCAAAGCACTATATTGGCCCAAACACCTCGTTCTGTGGGTAGAGAAGCTGATAAGACAGCACAGAAATGGGAAACCAGTGTGTGATCAGAGAGGTTTATGAACACTCTGTGGGTTTTTTTTGTAAGGGTGCTCCACGGTGTTACATCAAATCAGATCAGGGAGTTCTGGCATGCAGCATGTTCGTTTTAGAAGTAATAGTGACCTGATACACAGCCCTGTGGAGCCATAGATGCTAGTGTTTATCTAAAAAAACCCACACTGACAACAAAACAGAGTGGTACAAAACAGAGTGGAAACTGAAACTCGTAGCAAGTCACTTGTCCCCTCTAGCAGTTCTCCTCTGGAGAAGGTGATGAAGGAGAATTGGGAATAGTCCCTGTCACTCTAAAAGAAAGCTGAAACAGATGTGTGTCCTTTCTCATGTAATTCAACTTCTTGACACAACCCTGGATCCATGCTTTTTTTCAACAGATCCAATTTGATGACGTCAATGCATTCTTCACAGCAGGAAAAAAAATCAGTTTTCCAACAAGCATTTCCTTAGACTGGAAAAGCAAATTGGCTGGATGCCTGGTGGCTCCTACAGCCAATCACTATAACCTTACCATAAATGTAGATGTGTTTCTATCTTAGGGTTGATTATTGACTTTATTTTAGCCATGGGACCATCCTGTCCCAGTCCTCTGTGTGTGCACTCTACCAGTGAGCGCTGAGATCCTGAATGCTGCATTATTTAGCAAATATTTTGCATATCACACAGGCTCACTTAAAATTTGACTTTGTGACTTGATATATTGTAAATGCATCTCCCAAATGTTTTGCAGAGCCCTGTCTCCGTCCAGAACTTGCAGCAGGCAGCTTAGCTTCAGAGCTTGGCTGGTGCTCTTTTCTCTTTTTTTCAGGCTAATTGCTCTTAGTTGTTTTTTGGGGATGGTATTACTAATACTAAGATTGTGCTTTATACTTGCAAAGCTTGGTGTATAGCAAATGCTAACTATCAAATGTGTAACAGATGAATTGTAAAAGCTTTGAGATAATGTGCTAGGGAGGCTAGAGGCTCTCCAGAGGTGAGTGAGGACGTGCAAACCTTTTTCCTTCAGGCACTGCCTGGACAGAGCATGGCTGATTTAGTCTGTGAGTAGTATTAGTTTCCTGCATTTGTGAGTTAAATCCAAGGCTGAATCCTCATACTGAGGATGGGAGAGGAAAGATCTGTAGAGAAATGTCTGGAATTAAAAGGTAAATGTGAGTAAAAGGAGGTCTTTAGTTCTGCTTTTACCCTTTGATCTGAAGATGGCAGTAACAGGCACGCCAGATGGCTTTATTTCTGATGTTGAGTAAGTGACACCCAAACAGCCACCCTTCAAGGAAAAAAGTTTTCATAATAATTTTAAAGTTAACTAAGACAAATTTTATTAAAGGTGGTGGTGGGGAGGAGAAGCTAAAGGAAACATTTTAAAAGATCTTAGCATACTGTAATTGATCAGAATTTCTGAAACTGTAAGAAATGTTATGTCTTTTGGGATTTAGTTCCACTGGTTTGATTTGCTCTGTCATGCTCCTATTTCTGAGATATCACCTATCAAGTGAGACTAGTACGCTTAGATAAAGCGTGCCTTGTGGCTGAGACTCCAGACTCTCTCGTTTTTTGGGTTTTTTTTTTTGGATATTGCTTAACCTTTGATATTCTTGCGGGGGGGGAGGGACAGTGATGTGAAAAGTTTTATCCCTCCCACTAACGTCTCAGATGCAGTTCGGCATCCTCTGCAACATCAAACGTTCTTCAGAGTGAGAACAGGATGCAGTGAGCTTGCTCTGAGCGTTTCTCTCCTGGGCACTGTTGTGCACTTTTAACTGGAGCTTGTGCTTCAGGTAGATGATCAAGAACTAAATTTTGGTAGAGAGGGGCTATTGTGGTAGGAGCAAGGTTTGGAGATGGTGGGGCTGTCACTGTTCCCTGCCTTCACCTACTCACCCACTTCTACCACACATCTGCACAAACAGACAAGAGGCCTGGGTAGCTCATGCAGCTACAGGAGTGAGTCATATCTTCTCTGTTCAGCTGCACAGCCCACTGCATAGTCAAGCTTTTATGAGCATGAAGCAAACAAAATGAGTATGTAGTACAGACTAATTTATATTTCTATCAAAATGCAGTTGATGATTGTTTTCTGTCGGTGGTTCTCATCAGCAATTAAATGATGGGCTTAGAAAGCTGTGCATCTCTAGGACTGGTCATAACAAGAAGGGATACACTGATGTTTGCTGTCTGAAGCAGTCTGTTAAGTTCCCAGATAAAATGGTGGTGATATTTATCAGGTGAATCATTTCTCAAATACTTCTTGGAAGCCAAGTATTTCGGAAGAGGCATCCTTTCCGCACTGCACGGTAGCTGCCTCTCCTGCTGTCAGCCAGCTCACACGCAGGAACGGGCGACCGGATGGGGGACTGCAGAGGGATGAACAGCAGAATGTGCATTTCTGGTTCCCTGGGATGGGTGGAAGAGTCTGGTGCCACTGCATGCCACAGTTTTAACAGCCACAGATTTCCCATGCATTTCTCCCAGCCCAGGGGTGCTCAGAAACCCCCCTGTCTGGAGGTAGCCTGCTGAGAGGAGAGCAGTTCCTCAGTTTCATGTGAGAAATGAAGAGGGACTCACATCCCTTTGCTGTAATAGTGTGAGGAAATTGTCTTACCTTCTTGAAGTAGAGGTTTTGGACTGGGTTCTCAGCTCTCATTGAATCATTTCGGTAAGCCATGATTTTACTTGACATCAAAGGTAATTTTGATGTTGTCTTGAGTGAAGCTAAGATTTCACTACACGTGCATAAAGCAGATGTAAAGATCTGTTATATCTGTAACTGGGGACTTCCCTCCCTCTGGGAGGCAGGGCTGGCCACCAGCCCCTTCTCCATCAGCCCCCCAGAGGGGCAGCCCGGTCTGCCCTGCGCTTGCCGCATGGCAGACCCTGGAGCATCTCGGCTTGGTGCAGTGCAGGGCTGTTGCTATGTGGAGCTTGTTCCTTGCTCTCCCAGCTACTGTTCCACTATCCCAAGTGACCTGGTACAAAACCCACATATTTTCTTTTCAGGGGGCTTACCTGAAAAACAGGATCTGACAGAAACAAGTCTACAGAAGAATAACTATAAATTATTAAAATCAAGGTAGTAGGGAAGGTTTAGCCCTCATGAAAACAGTAGCTTGTATTGTGTAAGCAGAAAAAAAGAAAACAGATGTTAGCCCTTTTTCCCAAGTGTGGTTGTCCCCTGTTCCCCCCAGCCCATTTTTATGCGAAGGCCTGGCCATTTCCAGTGCAAGTGGTGCTGAGTGTTTAATGCTATAAAATACTATAGCAACACTTTTACTTAAATACGATTCAGAAAGGGGGACACGTTTATGCTGAACACTTGCTAATTGCATAATTTTCTCCTTTTATTAAACAACGTGTTCATGCTCTGTAACACAGACTAATCAGAGTGCAGAGGAATGATTTATATTATGTTGAAGAGGTCTGAGCGTTTGACCTTGTAAATGAATTCCCAGAGACAGCTGAATACAATGCAGTAAGTAACAGCCTCTAATTAGGATGCTGAAAGAGTTGTATGTAGTTCTGGTATCCTGATGTGGAAACTATCCAGGCATTTTCAAGATCCTTGGGCAACAGTGTTTTGCAACAGTGAAAGGAGTTACTACGTCTATTCAAGAAGCTACTAGCAAGGAACTGAAAGAAAGAGAAACCTGGGAAGTACTTACAGGACTGACAACATGGTAGACACCGTAATTCTGAGACAGAGAGATACAAAACCTCGTCTTTTATTTAGTACTGTTGCTGACTTGCAAGAAGAACAGAACATGAATCAGCAGGGTTTAGCATTTTCTGCCTGTAGGTACTTGGGATATTCTTGAAGCCCTGAAAACCGCAGTGAAACCAGGCAGATGTTAGCCTTCTGTCTATGGAATGGAGAGCTGTGTGCAGCGAGAGCTGTATCTGTACCAGTCCTTATGGGCGCACTATATGTGTGTATGCAATACAGAACAGTATCTGTGATGTTATCATGGTTAAGAAATGGATCAAAAAGCTGTTGAGGTTGGAGAAATCTCCAGCTGGGCTATAGGCAGATTAGACCTGGGTCCTGGCAATTTTCATCCTCCATGAGGCCAGTGGTACAACAATTGGTCTTGAAATAGGCTGGAACGAGCAAAAGCTTTGCAGAATTCTGTGTTTTTCTTTATTTCTGAAGGATGGTTATGTTTGTTTCAGTAATGTGCATCTAAGTCTCTTTTACAGTCATAAAAAGAAAAGAACAAAGCATTGTTCTTTGGTCTGATAGGGAATTTGAGCAAACAGTTAAAGGTAGGCATGTAAAACATTTAGTGGAAGAGGAAAAAAAAAATACATTTGGCTGGAAAATGCTGGCACACTTTCAGAAAACCAACCAAATCATGAAACAAAAATAGCATGTTATCTGTACTTTTCCATAGTTCTCAGGACTGTCTGTAAGAAAGAGGAAGAAGAAACTACTTTACGTAACTAAGATGCATCTGCAAAGCAAAGGCGAAAAACCTGCCTGCTTCAGTCTTCTTGTGAGACTTGAGCATCGTTTGGGGAGAGGTTTAATAAACTGAATGTGCTAGAGCATGAGTAATAGCTGTGTGCTAAATGCCTCCTGGCTAAGTGACCAAGCATCGTCAGCTGTCAGTCTCTGGGAACACCACGGTAGATAACAGGAAGGTCTCCCAGGGCCAGGCAGCAGCCAGGACGTGTGCAGGGAGGTGTGACAGAGGCAGGTTAACACTGCACACAGGGCAGAGGAGAGCACCAGCGAAGCCCTGTCCTTCCTGCAACCTGCGGAGAGTTAGGCACCACCTTGCCGGGTGTGTTTGTCTGTACCTTGTTTTCATCAACGAAACTGACATTCAGCAAAAGTGCAATGGATGGGTAGGGATCCTTCTGCACAGGTCAGAGATGCAAAGAGTTTTCTCAAGGCTTCATATTATAAACAAGATTCTGCTGGGGAGGACTCTGTTTTATCCTAGATCTATAATCTAGATTGTAGCAAGTTATAAAAACACATCACACGCAGACACACTTTATCTGTGACATTTATCTGTAACTTGTGTTATTGTTCAGATCGCTGATAGAGGCATTAAGGTGCATAGCCAATGATGGGTAGGGAATGTCCCGCAGAATCTCACCCACTCAGCAGTGATTTCCCTGAGCTGCTGTGCTGTGAGACTTCAGCTAGACAGTTCTCATGCTACTCTGCATAGGTCGATTCTGCATTTCCTTATTTTTAATTATTTCATGTTTTAGAAAGGAAAAGGCTTTAGAAGGCTTTTACAGCTAAGTTTGTAATATTTCTCAAAAAAAGTTTGGCAAGAAGTCATTTTTATAAAGCCTTATTCATCAGCATTTATTATATTATCTCCTTTTATTTTTTTATTATTTGGATTCTATATTGGCAGCTGTGATAGTTTGACTTAGAGTGGTGTGTTCATCTGGCAAGTTTGTAATTAGCTACTTCTTGCCATTACGTGCTTGAAATTTTTGTTAAACTGCCTTTCTTCCTGTTTTGGGAAAACCCCTTAAGCATTTTTAAGGACTAATGAAAATAAGTGTTAATTGTTCTAGAGGCACTTTGGCCTGTTTTCTGGAACACCTGGATCGATGCAGGCTATCCAAACCTGCTGCACTGTGCATGCCCAACTTTACTCTTCCAGCACCCTCCTGAAATGGAGTTGAAATAGAAAACCCCAAACTGTTTTGCAATCCTCTGAATCGACATCTGACTTTTTCCTGGTACAGAAAATGCACATGTATTAAATATGTTTGCATTTGCCACGTTATTTTTGACAATTCCATTTAACAGCATATATTTCCGTATCATAGCATGCCAGTTCCAAAAGTACATTTCCTTTTTATCCCAAGGTATTTGTTAAAGTATGTGTTCACTTTAGTCATATAGGTTGTAGAGTTCCACTTGTATTTTTCGTACATTCTTCAGTTTATTGCCATATAATGCTCATTCCTTCACTGTGATACAGTGGTTCCCATGGAAGTTTTAAAAAAAGAGTTCAGCTGTACTCTCGGGAGTTGTTTGTTTATAGGTTGTGCTGAGCGGCTGGTACAGAAGATGAGGAAGTTGTGGCAGGGCCATGTCTCCTCGTCCTGCCCAGCAGCGACACCTAACAACTGCTCCGTGTGCGCCGAGCCCAGGTGCCAGGAGAAGAGGGCTGGAGACCAGGTCTGGGTCATCTGCAGAGGTAGGTACCTGCTTGTTGACACTTGTGGTGAGAGGGACTCCATAGTTTGTCATTGTCCAGAGCCCACGGGCAACGAAGCTATGTGTCGGTCACAAAAAGTGAAACTCTGGCACTACAGAAAATTATTAAATTTGGTAGTGAAAGAAATTACCGTGTAGAGGTTCTTTTCCTTGCTGTTTGCTGGAGGGCCAGCCAAACTGGCTGACACAAGTGCTTGGGCTTGTGAAGCTGTGTGATACAACTACGCATACAGAGTCCACAGGCTTAATCTGTAAGTAATAGCCTTATGAAACCTGCTTCCAGCAAGTTTCTCTGATGGGAATGATCTGATTTCTCATAATGTGCAAGCTCACCTTGAAATCTTTATTTTGGTGAGATAATAACAGGGCAACCACTTCAAAAAATGTGGTGGGAACTTGGTCTCCTTGTTGCTGTCAGTCTGGGAGTACGTTGGTTGGGGAGCTCGGAAGTTATTGTGGAGGAAGGACCCCTGTGCTCTGCCTGCCCCACACGCACGCCGTGTAGGTCTGACTTCCTCAGGAATACAGGGCTTGTTTTTCACAGTGATATGGTGGGAAGTTTTTGTTTACATTTTGACAAATTTAGATAGCATGTCACTGGAGTGGTTCTGATAATCGGCGGGGGGCAGGGGGGAGAGGGAATCTGTTCTCTCTTAGCTCTTAGGAGGTTGTGCCAGTGTAACATTATCATGAAGCCTTGTCTATAGTGTCATTTAGGACAGATATGTCTGCATGAACTGTGAACAAGCTACTGAGGTGCTGCTAGGAGTATATGCACAGTGGAGCCAGTGGCCTGAGGGCTTATCCAGGATCTCTGGTGGATTTGCAGCTCTTTGTATCAAGATAGTGTTCATTTGGCTATGCTTCTGATATATTTGATATTTTCTTTCTAACATTAGGCATGTCTACACTAGCTGGCATGTGAGCTATGGGTGCTGCCTTGAAGATAAATTGTAGAGCTTATTTCCACAAAAAATCATGGAGGGCACTCTATCTCCAAAACTATGTGTTTAAATTAGGGAAATTTATGGAGGGAAAATCTGTCCACATCTATTACGCATGAAGATATAGGTACAAACTCCTGTCTCAAGAAATCCTTATGCTGCACATAAGGAAGCAGAAAGGATATAGGAAGAAAAATTATCACTGTAGGCCTCCCATTTCTTTCCTAAGCATCTGCTATCAGGAAATCTCAGAGACAGGATACTGAGTAAGATGGATATCAGCCTGACCCAGCAGGGCTCATTCTTATGTTCTATTTATTTATCTAAGAAGGATGAGGAGGGAGCCATTAGCTCATTTTTACTTTGAATACGTTCCTTTGATTTTGAATGAGGGATAACTTTACCACATTACCATGGAGGAAGACACTTTGTCAAGAAGATGAAGAAAGGTTGTGAATTAACATGCTGCTTCACCGCCCCCC